TTCCGTTTTATATGAATTCCATGTTGTACGAGTCACTTAGATTTTACAAATACGTGTGCCGGGCTGTGAATGGCTCACGTATTTGTAAAATCTAAGTGACTCGTACAACATGGAATTCATATAAAACGGAAAAAATCAACAATGTTATAGGGGGGGTCGACTGTAATCTATAAACATGTAGTGTTTCTCAAAAGTCAGTTGATTGAGGTGTAAGTCGTTGATTTAGTCGTTCGGTTTTAATCGTTCTTAATTAAAATATATCTCGGTTAACAGACTATTGGACCACTTTATATTTTGATACTGATTTTAAACACAACAATATATAATTAAGTTCGTTAATGAGTTATTAACATGCTATACAATGTTATTGCTGACGCCTGATTCCATGTCAAATGCAGATTGCTGAATATGAAATCTTAATATTTGTTATTATCTATGGGTTCTGTTTGCGTGTTGTTACGGTGTTTCTCTATAATAAATGAAGTATAAATTTGTAATATGAAAGAACAACAAACCTGTATTTGTGAAAGAACCTGTAGTATTTGTAAATATTTAATAGGCAAAGAATAATTGGTGCAAGGTGTTTGTCTGTCGTGTAGATTCTTGATATAACTGAAGATCTACGAGATCTTTCTCTTATTACAGGGAATCTAATATTCCTATAGTATCATTCTGAATCTTTAATTGATAAATGAAACATTTAGTATTAGGATATTTTATTTAATATATTTCCTTCTAGAGATTCTTCATAACTCTCTGTTTTCATTGTACGCTTTAAAAAATACAGTCGACCCCCCTATAACACTGTTGATTATTCCGTTTTATACGAATTCCATGTTGTACGAGTCACTTAGATTTTACAAATATGTGTGCCGGGCTGTGAACAGCTCATGTATTTGTAATATCGAAATGACTCGTACAATATGGAATTCATATAAAACGGAATAATCAACAGTGTTATAGGGGGGGTCGACTGTAATTAAGAAGGAATGATATAAATTGTTAATACTTTAATTAAAAAATTCTTTTTTTAATTATATACACGGACGTCGCTAGATTGCTATGAAGCTCAGAAGTAGGTGCAGGGCCCTACTTCTTCTGGGCCCCTGCATAATTTCTGGATCAAAACCACTTTTCTACTTGGATCTAGAGAACTTTTAGCGCAAGAATATAAATTTCATTTCTTTCCTTCGTTTACATTCTTTAATTTAATAACTTAATTTACTATAAAGCTCCCAAAATGTATTTTGACTCAAGCCTCCTTTACCCCCGTTCATTAAGAAGACTAACCTCACGTTACACCGTTATTGCAACGGTCCTGAATTAAATTTCAGTGTGTACAAACAATAAATACGTTGTACAGTATTTAATTAAGATACGTCATAATATCCTTGCAGGTTGGTGGAATATTTTGGAAGAATATTTTCAGAATAATATATTTTTATTTAGTATCATTATCTTAGAATTACGATAATGTTATATTAGATTTATGTACTGATCCCGAAGGTTTTGTTATTATTATCTGTTTATTACACCATATTGTGATGATTAAGATTAGGATCATTAGAAACATCAGATACTTTCTCAATATAATTTATTATCAGTTCATTATCTGATACTTGCAGATTGTTCTGTGTTATTGAATACTTCTTTCTAAATTCCTATTATGAAGTGAATTATGTACAGTAGAACTTGTTTAAACTGGAATTTGCACGGTAACGAATTTGTCAGTCTCAGTTTTATTCAGGTTTTACCGTATTGTTACCAAATTGTTAAATTATGGTATATGATCAGTGATGTATTTCATATAAAAGAAAAGGAAAACATCGCTTTTAACTTCTAAATCGCCGTTTTTCTAAAATAAATTGTTGGCAAAGTTTGCTATTTTTGATTATTATCATTATTTTATTATTATCTTTTGATTATTTAATAAGAATTTTTTAATATTTAGTAATTATTCCTTGTTTGAACTAAAGGTTACTTACATATATAGGCCTATATATCTCGATTTATGTCAAATTATTGTATACATAACTTGATTTTTACCAAATTAGCATAGCTAACTCGATTTTCCCGAATTTCTTATGAATATTTACCAGGATCAACAGACTATTCAAGTATTACGTTAAAGCATATAAAGAAGTAAATTTGTTTGTATCAATATATGACGATTGTTGATGATGAGAGAGGGAGGACGAGTCTTTAATGACGTAAGAGTATATAATTACTCTATATTTTGCCTCAGTCATCACTAAAATTGCCTGAAAATAATTCCTGTACGTATATTTACGAATGGTTTAAACTTCTGATCTGATGTTATAATTATGGGGAAAGGGTATTCTAGATGAGTGGAGATGATGAGGAAGAGAATCAAATATTACATCAGCAGCAGCAGCATCATCTCTCATGCAGGGATACGTATCGGGGATGCAGGGATATACACTAATGCTAAGATATATTCGGGAATACAGGAATTAAAAAAAGGGAACTTCACAATTCCCCTTTGTGATCTCATTGTTTTAATTTTTAAATAGATTTGTACTGTAATCATTAACTAGTAAACAGTAATTTATTATTATAATATATTATAGTTATTACAATGAATTAATTAATTATAATCATTAGTATTAATTTTATTTAGCAAGTTTAATATTATTAACACTAATAATAGTTAACTTTTCAGTAACGTAATTATAGTTTAAAATAATTAAATTTGTAATTACAGTCGAACCTCCAATAACGGCCACCTGCCAACGACGGCCATTTCTAAACGGTGGAAATTTTTAAAATATAAATACATATAAAATAACCTCCAAATAACGGCCAGTTTTTTTTAATGATTCCGTGAATGTTCGTTATTCAGGGGTTTGACTGTATTTTTATTCTGAATAGGCCATTAATTTACTATAATTATTATAAATTCTACACAAATTTCAGTTTCATTATAGAAATTTCTGTAATGTTTTAAACGGGGGTAAGATCCATTGATAAGTACTGTACATATTGGCGCTGCACGGGGGTAGCGCTATATAGAAGGGCGTTATAACGAAATATCATGTATATTATTAAGTGAATTTTGGGGGAAAAAATAAAGAAAACACATTTCTATAATATTTTAAACAGAATTGATAGATTTAGAACAGAATTTTCTTTTTGTTTTACTAAATTGAAGTATATAAATATGTAAACTCATGCTAAAACTAATTAAAATTCTTTCATTAGACGGTATTATTAAAGTAATACTTTCTACAAAATTAAAGTAAAGGAAAGAAAGGGAGGAAAAAAAATTCCTTAATTTTCTTTGTTATTCACATAACTTCTTAAAACAAAATAAAAGCTTTACATAATTTAGTTATCAAGAAAACAAACATCACATAAGAAAAGTCTTTTACTTATATTAAAAAAAAAAAAGGAAAAATTGAAAAGTAAAACTTATATTAATTTACTCTTTAACATGAATAAAATACTTCATTAGTTTATTTATTTATTTATTTATTTTTTAAATAAATAATTTTTAATAATAAATAAAATTTGATTTTGTTTCAAGCCAGAATTTTAGTTTTATTTTAAGCCAGAATTTTTATTTCCTCCGTCGAAAAATATTATTTCTAATGTCTTCGAGACAATTTCCATTTATAATTTAATTTAAACATTTTTCAATTTTTCATATTTTATTACTTCTCACGCGAAATTTATTTTATAAAATTTCTTGATATGAATAAAATTCCACCAATTTTTTTTTTAAAAAGTAATTTAATTATAAATTATTATAAAGTTTTATTATTATTTTTATTATAAAAAGTGATTAAAAAAATAAATTAATCGTTAAAAATAAGCCGAATACAGTCGAATCCGTGAACGACTGCTACTGTCCGTTTTTCGCAGGTTATTTGTGCGCTACAGGTGTCCGTCGTTAAGAGGTGGATAGAAAATTACTATAAAAAAATCTTCATTTTTAATTCGTTAAATTACACTTTATACTGTCTTTACGGTTATTTAAATGGCTGAAGAAACAATTTATCTTTCATAAATAACAAACCTCAACCAAAATAAGAAGAGGAAGAGCCGTGTATGGATTTACTATTATCAACATTAAAACCAAAATCAATTACTCTTGTGTAGACAAGTGCTTCAAAAACTTGACAACGATATTTCGATCTGAAGTTAGTTTTTTTTTTTCTTCTTTTTTCTATAGAAAACAGAGGAGATCGTAACTCGAAAACAGACGATATGTAAGCTCTAATGTTCTGACAGAACAAAAAAGGAGAGGGGGGAAAAATAAAAAATAAAAAAAATAATAAAAAAATAAAAAAAGGAAGCCAAAATCGATCTCTCAAGTCAAATATTTTGTGTCGTTGGAATCAATATCCGTTGTCAATACTTCTTACAAATTCACTTCTTTTCGAATGCTCATTCGTCCTCCATTTATATAGATTTTGTTAGGGATAAATTTTAAAAATTTCTTTTCATTTTTCTCTAAATTACTATTGATTTTGTAACTTAATTACATTATAATGAATCTTAACATAATATGGAGACTTCTTGTTAAAGTGTTTGCTGATGGAGATGGTTTCTTACGAGTCAGGGCATAATTCTGTAGATTAGGGCCTCGTATTTTTTACATTATTTGGTGGAAGGAAAAGTTAATTAGAGCATCATATATTCAGATTATTTGGTGGTGGATAAAGTTACTTAGGGCCTTAAAATTTTTACATTATTTGGTTGGAGGGCCTCTTAGTTTTTGACAGTTATCCTTTTAATTAATTTAATTAATTTTTGTTGAATTAATTTATATAAAAGCTATATAAAAAGACTCTTAAAATATTTTTTTAATAATTTTAAAATTATATTCTTTATAATTTACTAAGTGTGATACAATTTTCGAGAAATTAAATAAGAAAAAAAAATGACCTTCTTAAAACATTTTAAATGATTTATTACCTTTCGAGACATCTGTACAAATATATATAGTATATATATTTATATATGTATGTATATAGATATACTTTATCCTTGTAAAAATTTACAAAAAAAAAGAACTTTCATAAATTTGTGATGAGACAAAAGATCACATGGAGAAAGAAGAGTTAAGCACTGTACAGATCACGGTAATGATTAAGAACTTATTTGTAATGAGCAAAGATCGTTTATTTATTAATTTTTTTTTCTTTGTTTTTTTTTTCTTTGTTTTCTTTGTATTAAAAATCCTCTTCGATTAGCACCTGTCGTGTGTTTTCTGACTATAATGGAAAGAATCGTGGCCAAAATACTTTACACTGCCCTTCTTCCTTAGTGTTTTTCTGTACTGTTACGGTATCGAGTCCCTAGGGCAGTCTACACAACGGTGAGCAAAAACTGACAGTTCTATGGATCAATAGCCAGAGGCACTTAGAGAATTTCTCGTCCTCGAAACTTTTCCCTTCAGGAACCTTAACAGCACCATCATCTGAGCATATATATATTTATAGTATATACAAGCCTATATAATTTTTTTTTGTTTGTTTGTTCTTTGGCACACCTCAATGCTTCGTCGTTTGATTAGTGTTTAATTGTTTTTTTAATATATTCAGTATTTTTACTACATTGAGCTTTATCACAGTGGTGGACAATTCAGGAACTTGGACTCTCCAGTTGAAATTCCTCTGTTGGTAACCGCCTCGTGTGTTTTGACTTGGATCTTCTTCTTAAACAATGAGCAATTGTGATGAAGACGATTACCAAGAGAAAAAGTCCACCACTACCTCCCACTGCTGCGTAAAGTACTGGAAACCTATCACAATGTTCGGGAGTCTCGTCGTAACCTGTTGGGCAATGCATGTTACCATCACACCATAGTTCTGGTGCTATGCACATATTTAGTTCTGGACATTCATATAGGCAATTGACGTTTCTTAAAGTCTGACCCGAATGGGTTCGAAGAGAAGATTTTGTAACCTCTAACCACTTTAGAATTAGGGATCCTACTTTTCTAAAGATGACTTCAACGTAGACGTGATCTCTCTGGGGGTTCATCCCTCCCGCATGAGTTTCGTTATACCAAGAAAAGGAAAATGCATCCACGATCTCGTTGGGGTTTTCAGTCAGACAGACGACACCAGTTGGCTCTAATTCTAAGCCACTATAAATAATTAAACGGTTGCTATCTGCTCTACATCCACGTGTGCCATCTCTCCCTTGAATCTTCAAGTATAAGTACTTATGGGGTGCCGCTTCTATGAACCATCTACATCTTATAGGTGCGGGATTATCTTCGACTTCTTTGGTTGCTAAAAACTCTAAATTACCTTCGCTACTTTTGTTATTCCTCACCAAACCACGTTGACAAAATGCAGACTTGACAAATTCGTAATAACCTTCGAACGAGTAATCCTCATAATCCTCGAAGGGCGACATCCCCAATATTTTAAACTGTATAGTGACGTTGCTACTTATGGATTCTAGTACAATGGGAGGTTTGGGGGTCCAATCAGAGATGGCACAGATGCAACCGATAACGGACGAAACCCTATCCCATTCCTCAGTTGCAGTTAACGTGGCACCCTGTGGGATACGTCTATCAGACATCTTGCATCTGTGCTTCTGATAAACGTCATCGTAATGGTAAACACAGGAATCAGATTTCAATTTCATTTTGGTCAGCGTGATTCTCACTCTTTCACCTTCCACCCCCTTAAACCTATAGCTGCAAGTTAAGTTGGTGTTGCCACCACGACCGAAAAAGAAGAGGTTAGCAGGTGAAGAAAACTTTCCTCTTGAAGAGGTAGAACTGTCGAAAAACGATCCGCATCTTGTCCAGTTGTTGGTGTTGCCCTCCTGATATGTGTCCACGAACTCGAATCTGGCTACGAATAGACTCGACATTGTGGACACTTCGGAAGGGCTGTATAGCGTATACCTAAGCAGCATTTCAGGTCCATCCGACAAGTAACTCTCTTCAGGTAGGGCGCAAGGACGGAGAGGGATATTGTTCATATAATCTGCAGCTCTTGCACACATGTTAGGAGTGGTCTTTTCGCAAAAACGATAATCCGGTTCTCCGAGTGTTAAACCATTGTGCACGGTCCTCTTTCTCTTTGACAGTACGTTGTAGATTTCTAGTGTGCTTACGTCACACAGTTCGGTACCTGTCCAATGCTGCTTATCCCTGACAAAATAGGATAAAAAGTATAACCATATCCGATCGTAATCAGAAGCACCCATTAAATGCACTACACAGGTTGTGTTTTTAGGCATTGTGTTGCGTGGACTGTAAATGAGTCCGTGTCTTTGTTTAGATCCATCAACCAGGAAAGTGCAACGCCCATTTTCCAGTCGAAATTCGGTAACTCTCACGAACTTCACTTCCACATCGAGCTCCACTCTCGAATTGTGCATCACTTGATAAGGTGAACTGTGTAATTGAACGAGAACTTCCGGTCCGCTAGTGACGATTTCTGGTAGACTTCCGGTACCACAGAACTCCATTAGCAAAGACGACGAGGGTGAAGGGCCATCGTAGACCCTTACCGTGTCACTAAAACAATCCTTTGTAAGTGTTGTGCGTCTCGATGCACCAGAACTCGTGCTGCCTGTGCACAGAGATATCTTATATTCATTACCTTGCGATAGAGCCAATTGGGCGTGATATCCCGTGGGTATCAAGTCCTGCTTAATTCTATAATTACATGTGAAATTTCTCAGGTAGAAACCTGGAAAATTCGGCGAACGAATTTTACACTTCTTCCTGTCGCAGTCTGAAAAATACACGTCACAATAACTCCCTGGTACTCTGGCACCCAAATAATATGGGCTCTCTCTAGGTCCGTATCTTGTAAAAGATGGAGTACTAGGCAGAAATTTGTATGTCATATATAAGCTGAAAGTAAAGGAGTTAATGGAAGCTCTGTTTGGTACAACCACTATTAAGGTAACATTACTTTCTTCGGAATAAAAGGTTGTCCTTTCTGCCATGTTACCGCAGAATAATCCAAAAGATGGAGAAGATGGGTAAAGTTTATTATCTGAGCTGTGCCACGATTCGTGTCTGGTCGACTTGACTGGTCTATTATCAGAATTGGAGGACGTTTCGATGATTTGTAGATGGCCCTTCGGACATATCTGAGTCTGGTTTCTGAAAGAAAAAGAATCGATCAGTCTACCTTACTGTAGCGTTGAAGTTATGTGTATGGTTCTGTATCTACAAAGAATTAAAGTTTTGTATGGTCCTTTATCTACAAAGAATTAAAGTTTTGTATGGTTCTGTACCTACAAAGAATTAGTTGTGTGTATGCTTCTGTACGCTTGATTTTACTCAAATATATTTCTTTAAATCTCTCACAGTTAGCATTTTGGATATTAAGTTTTTATAACGATCTGTCAAACACTTTCTTCAAGATTATATATTTACTTACATGTGTATGTTATAACAAACACATGTAAGTAAATATAACGCATTTTTAATTATAAGAAATAACGTAATCGAAAGTATTTAATAATTAAAATACTTCCTTCTTTTTTATATATAAATTTATAGTTCATTTATAAGTTTAATGCTGCAAATATGCTGGAAAACGAAATCGGTAGAGAATAATTGAAGAGGAAAATTTCGTTTTTCAAGTAATTTATCGAACCATTTAGAGTTTAACATTGGTTAAAATTTAAATAAAGGTGCGCTAGAAATACTTTTGTTTAAATGCGAATAACATTAAGAGAGAAGAGGATAATTGAAGTTGTATATTGGTATGCAGATTGATGAAGACAGATGACGTTGCACACAATGTGCTGCTCTGCCTCAACACTCACCTCCCGAACTCTAACGTTCCGATGTGAAAAGAAAGGAATGTTAATTCGATGATGTCTCCATATTCTCCTCCTTCCGCCTTAAAGGTAATTTTACATACAAATGGTAAATAACGTTGAAATGGTTCAGTTATCCTCAATGGGTACTTGGTGTTGACGTCACCGTATAACGTCTTGTTGCAACCTAAAAATAAACATAAAAATTACACAGGGATAAAGTAATAACGTAAAAATACATCGCGTTACCTAGAAATTACTGTCGTAATCTATTATAAAAACGTTGTTACGTTCCTGAAACAAAAAAACTAAGAGCCAACGATTAAAGGTGTTACTATTACAGTTATTAAGAAAGAACTTACAAGAGAGGCATATCGACAATAATAATTATTATTATTACTAAGTTGGCACAGCCATTACCTGGTAATTGTTAACTATTTGTACACATTTTCCTTCGAGTTTTCAAACCGTGTTACTGAAGAAAGCAAAGAATTCTTCTTCGTTTTGTTTCTTTCTTCTGACTCTTTCAGCTTTCTTCTCTTCTAATAGCCCTTCTTCACTACCTTCAACATAAAAAACACAAGGAAAAAGAAGTAATTTCTGTTTTTTCTCCTCTTCTCTTTCCTTTAAATATCCGGACATAGTGTATAAAAGGAAACTAAATTTTGTTTTTAGTATATCCATCTGCTCCTCTTACTCTCTTGCTTCTCCATCTTTACTCATCGACCCAATGAGATATGTTTCTCAATAAAGGGGGAAGAAGTTCGGCACATTATTCACCTAGTTGCACAATGTGGATGAATGTGCTTCACCTTAACCCATTGATTTTTTTCTTATTTTTTCTTTATTTTTCGCCTCCTTCTTCTCTTTGATTGCTTTTTGTTCTCGCAGAAGCATCGAGGTGATGTCATTAAGTATTATACTCTATTAAGGTACCACCTACTTTTCATCAATTACTTTGGCAGTTTTAAAGTGTTTTACTTAAAAATCCATTGTTGTTTCTTTAGTAGTAAAAGTGCTAATTTAGCATTTCGTACGTTTAAAAGTCGAAGTTACTTTTGTGTAAATAATTTAAGCGTTACTGTTGTTGTAACACGAAAATCTGAATCCGTCCTTCTCTATATTAACTGTGTTAACGACTTTAAAATTTTATTATGTTACATACCATTGATCTTAATTAATGAGACTATCAGCTCTACAAAAAATAATAATAATAGATTCTATATAATTCCAACTGAAATTTTGACAATAGGCCCATCTGTAAACATTCTATATAAAAATTTTAGAGATCCACAAACTCGTAAATGGCAATATCTTATTTTACTCTTATTATTGGGCCTCCAGACGATTTAGAAGGCTTATAAAACAGCAAATGTTAACCCAAAACGGTTGCAATCTTTACCACTTTTAAGATGGTTTAACGATGTTATAAATGCTTTTCAGAGACCTTCTAAAATTTGTATATGATAGTATCGTATAGGGAGCTTATTTCGCTCATAGAAGAACGATTTAGAAGGCCTATAAAATGGTAGATATTGAACTCAAACAGTAGCAATCTCTGCCACTTCTGAGAGAGCCTAACGATGCGATAATTGGTAATTAGAGGCCACCCATAAAACCCTTAATTTGAGGAGTTTTGTAGGAGGCCTCTTGCATACTTTTAATCGAATTAATTACATTGTTAAAATAGTAATTCGTGTTAAAATCCTTTAAAACTTTAGTTACACTACCGAAGGACCGTTTAATTTTTCTTGACTCTTGTAGTATTAAGTAATACTTTACTACTACAGGAGTGCTGTAACAACTCAATCAATTATTCTTTGTTGCGCTATCTTCTTTTATTATTAAAGAAGTTGTTATGTGCTACTTTTCAGTAAAGATACTTTCCTAATTGCACGGTGCTTTCATATAGTTTACTTCTTCAGCAACATTACAACCTTAATAATGCTTCCTCCTCTTCTTCTTCTTCTCCTTCTCCTCCTCCTCCTTTTTTTTCTTATTTTACTTCTGGCTTTGGCCCTAATTGCGCTATTTTTTAAAATGTCATAACGCCTTTTCTTGCATCCCTGCTTCTTTAGCAATAAAAATTTTCTTCTTTTATAAATCTCTCCCTTCTCTCAGACTTAGTTGAAGTGCATACTGTGTTTACTTTATCCTCTTCTCCTCCTTTTCTTCTACTTATTGCATCGCATCTAACAACTTTTCCTGCTTTTTTTCCTCTTCTTTTTTCTTGAGAAATTGCACTTTTTTTTACATTTTACTACCTCTCCTTTATAACAATTTCGCTTGTAAATTGTAATTCTTTGCTTCACCTACTTAAGTAACATAGTAATTGTTATTATACATAAAGTAGCATCGTTCTTCAGATTTATCTTCGTTATGCTTTTGGCAATAGAAATACGAACGTACGCTTCGTGCTTAAAATTTATTTCTATACTAGATAATGAAGAAAAATATTTATTCTTGTAGAGCTAACCTTCATCTTATCCTCTATTGTTTTATTAACAAAGCTTCGTTGTTCGAACGTAACAGAATTTAATTTTTGAGTTGTGTTTATAATCAGGTTTTATTACTTTGTTTAAAAGACATAATTCAAACAATACGCCTTTCCACTGAAATTTATTAAGCTCTAAATTTGTTCTAGACTTTGTTTTTTTTTTCTATAAAAGGCGCCATATTGTTATCCAGCATCAAAACAAACTCGTCTTTTGCTCCAGACAGCCTCATCTCACGCTCTTTCTGCTGATGTTTTAATATTTTTATCCTATTTTTTGTATTTTTTTAAAGTTTAATATACAAATCTTGATGTCCTTAACTTTAATAACAAGCATTTTAAAATTTTAAAACCGTTTATTCTTTAAAAATCTCGTCTTTTAATGTTCTTTAAGGCTGTAGAGAGTTTTATTGTTGTTCTCGTATATAAAGGCAATTTTTAATTACTTGTTTTTGTTGCTGTTAATGGTGTTTAAGTCGACGTTTATTTTTTATATTTATTTTTCTTTGTTTAGAAAATAATTTTAATGTTGTACTTGTTTATCGAGTCTTTTTAATGGTAAAAACTCTGATTTTCTTATATACTTTCAGCACTCCTTAAGTTATAATGCGGGCTTAATATTAAATTTTCTTTATTTCTCAGCATTAAATAAATTATTTTTTTCGATTTTTCTAACTTAAAATACTCGATATTCTTCGATAATGCATTGCAACCTCCCTTATCTTATTATACATTTAACCCAAATACAATTAAATTAACTCACCTAGCATCATCTGTACATCATCATAATGAGTCTTCCGAGGATAGAATGGAATGATTTAAACGTTAATCCTTTACCATTATAAGAATGGGAGCTGTCCTGCCTAAGGACACAGGTAATCAGTGACTAAATAACTCACCATTTATCCAGAACAAACTAGGATTTATCCAACCGCATCCCTAAGTTATTCTGATTTATCCAGCCTCATCCCTAAGTCATCCCGAGTTATCCTAGCTTGGAGAAGCGTGTAAATCTACACTAAAACATGATTATAAAGTTCATTATACTTACTGGAGCATCCTAGACTTTCATCACTAGCATCAGAACAATCATCCGTTCCGTCACAGTATTTACTAAGGCTGATACATCGTCCATTATCGCAAGCAAATTCGGATAACCTGCATCCAAAGTTGGTATCAAGATAGAATATGAGATGCGTAGAAATAATTAAAGATAGAAGATTCCATCCCATTCTGGATGAAGTTGAACAGTTTTCCACTGACACTAACTAACTTGCGTGTCGATACTTCTCCTTTTCCATGCTAGAGGAGGGGAAAGAGGGGAGAAAAAAAGAAGAAGAAGGATGAACAAGTCAATCGCATTATAGCAATTATGCAAATAAGCAGAACGTATATCTTTGGTATTCTAAAGTAGTGATGCTGATGCTGAGGCTGGGGGTAAGGATGCAGTTCTTATTACTTTAAAATGATTGTTTTCCAAATTTAATTTTGTGTTATCTCTTCCTCGCCTCATTTTTTATGGAAAGGGGCTCGTAATAATATTTATTCGCAGTTTATTACCCGAAATTTCGGACCCACGTGACCGGAATTCCATACTTTCGTTTAAATTTTTAACGTAATTTTATTCTATAATCGTCTAAGTTGTGATTTATTAGCTCCGTTGAGTGATAACTTTATGTACGTATGTATGTATGTAACACCGGATACTGATAAAATAACTAAGTTAATTTATGTTAATACAGCGATAATCAGCATACTAATGTAGTAATAATAACCTAGAGCTGTTAAAGATTTAATCTGATACTATTATAGTAATAAAACTGACGTTAAAATCCCATAATACACACTTATAAATTGTGCCATAGTTTTCTACTTTTATGGTAGATCCTAGTGTTATAGTATCTTTAAAATACATTTATTGTAGCTGTAGGGAACGTGAGGATAGTTTTTCACATCTCTAAAAATAAACCATCATCAATCAATAATTAATACTTTAACAGTTGGAGATTTATTACCTCCAGTGTAGAGTAAAAGTATTGTTTTCTACGGAAGTAGACAGTACAATTGAATTTAATAATTTATGGAGATAGATACAGTAAATATACAGTTATAATTAATTTAAAAATACAGTAATAGTGATGCTATATTAATAAGTTTATAATAGTATACTGTTTTCTGTTTAGGCAGGTTTTCGTTTTATTCAGCTTTCACAGGTTTTACTGTAATATAATTAATTATCACTTGTATAAATAGTGAATTTATGTGTTTAATTTATTATTTGAAATGAAAATAATTTAAAAATTCGAATAAAAAAAATTATCTTTTATTATTTTCTGCAATAAAATTGTTATTTTTTTTACGTATTTTAACACAATTTTTACTGAAAAAAAGGCTTAAAATTTATGTTTTATGCAATAAATCTGTCGAAATGCATTTAAAACATTGATTTTATTAGTATAGAAGCGTATAGTAACTTATGTTTTAAACAATATCACTTTTTTACACGCAGAATTTTCCAATTACTTAAGCAGATATCAGATTTATTCGTTATTATAATTAATATTTAACTCGCGTTTATTTAGATGTAGACAGACAGAAGCTTTATTAACATTAACGCTGTAATTGCAAAGTCGTTTTACATGCGAAATCTTTGCAAGAAACACATTTAATCATTCGGAAAATATTTAAAATAAACAAAATCGTTACACTAATGCTACTAAAGTAAGAATGCAGAGAGAGGAAGAGCAAGAGCAAGAGCAGAGAGAGAGAGAGAGAGAGAGAGAGCATGAGAAGAGAGAAAGTTATTGCTAAAAATTTAAATAGGAGAAGAAAGAGAAAAAAAGAAAAAAATGCAAATTAACAAAAAAGTAATTTAGTAAGATTGTAAATTTTTATTATAGACGAGAGAGAAACCACCAAATGGTTTACAGGATGATAACTTTTTACCCTTTGGGAAATCACAAGATTGATGCACGCTCAAGTAATATTTGATTGAGCATTTACACACGGGATTTATAAATAGTCTGCGAATTTTTCCGGTTTGTTTCGAATTTTTATACATATAAAAATCACCGAAAATAACATAAAAAGTATAGTAATTTCAACGATAAAACATAAGCCATGCGAAATTTATGACGTCATATATGAGCTGAAGAAAATAAACCTCGCTTCTTTCCCCCCTAATATACTTTTCCTAATTTAAAAATAAAATGTGTTTAGAATAATAAAACAGATTTAAATTTGTTTTTTTATGTAAACAATTTATTTTATTTATTTTTTTAATTTTAAATATATTATCCTTTACTAGATGCACATTTTCCTAAGTTAAAAATTCACTTATAAGTACCCCAAAAATAGTATTTAAATATAAAATAAGTTAAATAATTGTTTATTAAACCTATAAATTCCTGTTGAATTCCGTCTGTCTATTTGTCTGTCCTTCCTTAATCTCATTTCAAAAATTTTCTGACCAGCATGACTCTTCTGTTATCAGGAAAAGACTGATGTACAGGGGCAAGAAATTGATTTGAGATCGAGATCATATATTTTAAATTAAATAAATTTAAAATATTAGCAGGATTTTAGTTAACGAAAATAAATTTATTAAAATTAAATTTTTAATTTTATAGATGCTTTTTATCTTTAAAAATTCTTAAATTGTAAATTAATTTAATTATGACTTTATGCATTGAAAATCACCCAAGTGATCGTATTAATGATCGATCTTCTCAGTTAATTTTGAAGTTTCGTGATTAATCATTCAAAAGGCAAGCGTGTAACAAGCGAAAGTAATCAATTTTCTACAAATTTACATTTGAACAAGTCTTTTAAATCATTGCAAAAGTACTAAAATACTTGCTTCTTCCGATACCGATACCTCTCATAGATAATTAAATATTAATTGTACCCAGAGAAGTTATGGCAAACAATGTACCACATTCCAAACGATTACATCTAGACAATTTGGCAGTCGATAATCATCAGGAGGCATTTAACTAATTTCTAACTTTACAGAATTAATTTATTATATTCAACAACGTTTCTAGAATTTATTTATCTTATATTATTGTAGAATTTTATACTATTTTCTGGAGTAAATTCGCGGAGAATATCCTTCATCTGATGCTATCCTATGATTAATTGAAGCGAAAATTAAACATACCTAGAATTTTTGAAGGTTTTTCTTATAGGAATAAAATGGAAAATTGTAAATAAAGTACTGAAGGGAGATCGTGGTAAATGAAATATATAAAAATCATTGGTTAAATTTTTAAAAATTCGTGGAATATCTGCTATTGTCTTAGTTAATTACACAGTAAAACCTGTCTAAAACGAAAATCTGTAAACCTGGAAAAAAGCAGCCTTGAAATTCCGGTTTACACAGGTTTTATTATATTTTTATTCTTGCTTTGGATCATTTTTCTAGAATTTTTTTAATCTAAAAAGATGAAGTATTAATTATAATTTCATATATAAAATTGCTCATTGTTATACTATAATTTACACATTAACTCCAGTGTTATTTAGGTAAATATTTGTTAAATGTGCTACATAATTCTATGAAAATTACATTATGATTTAGTCATTTATATTTAAAATATTGTAAATTATGCAATAGTGTTATTGTTATATACTCATTAAACAGTGTTATTCGGCGGTTCCACTTTTCAGAAATTATAATTTACAGCGATTTTAGAACGTTGCTTAACTCATCTAAACAAATCTACACAAAATAAAAAGCAAAAATTTAACCTTCTACCCATAAATTAAGCTTATTGTTATTCACAACGTGATAAATTGAGTCGAAAATCAATTTTACACCTCAAACCATCCTATACCAAAAACTGGGTAATTTTGCCAGCTAAATTAGCCCCTAATTCCTTCATGACTCTTCCAAAAATCATTCTTCCTGTCTCTTTCAGCGCATCACTCCATAATTAACCAACAATTAAATAACCTGCTTCTATCATCCTCATCTGCTCTCCATCCTGAAGGATGTAGAGCAGAGAAAAAAGAAAGAAAGCATTGTTTTCAATATGGCTGGCTTCTGGCCACCTCAAGAAAAAACCCTCCATTAAATATTAAGCATTGGGCACAAGTAAGAGAAGATGGCCCGTGCCAAACTGTTCCATCTGTACGAATCCGGTGTTAATCACCCAGACGACATCCTACCATCTCTGGCACTCTAGTGAATTGAATTTAATGGCTGTACTCCGTTACGTCTGAGAAGGGAAAATAGCAATTACTCCGCAGAAAATGTCTCCCTCCGGTTACCTAGCAACCGTTGCTAGGATATCTTATGGCTAATGGATGAGTTTCTCGCTCGGTTAGTTTCTCTGTAGTCTTGGAAGTTGCTCCTTAACCTGAAGTTGTTTTTATATATATAATTACTTAAAACGGGCTTCCTGACTGAGAATGCATGGATAGCCTGCCACTCAGTTGTCTAATCAGTTGATACAAGCGAAAATTTTCGCACCAATTAGCAAAACATGTGTACTACTTTATCGCGCATCTTCCCATAGCATTTAATAATTTACATCCAGCTCAGCTTAAACATCCAACATCCATTCAACTAATGAGCTAATTTATCTATAAAACTCTTCGTTTCCTGCTATTTTATGACCATTTCCCCTAAATTTAAGACTTCTATAACGGTAAATTTATGGAAAACAATTAGATAAACCCTACCAAAAAAATAATGAAAGGTGTTTTCTCCGGGTTAAATAGAAAGGAAATTGACTTTTCTTCCTTTCCTTATATCGAAGGATTAATTCTACTCTCATGATGCTGTAGCATCTCTAATGCTGCTATGATATTAATGAAGTTTACCGTAATAGATAATAAACAATATAGAGTAAATACTAAATTTATTTATATTGTGTTAGAGTTTATATTATTTAATTATTATTAATTATTAATCCCTGCTAAAGGAGTGGAAATAATTTATAATAATTTATATTTCTTTCTTCTGTTTAAGGAAGTGTTGAAATATTTAACGTACAATTACTTTATTTATGTATTTTTCTAACACGTTATTGTAATAATTAGAATACAGGAACCTCTAATAACGGCCACCCTTAAATGCCGGTTATTTTCTCAGGGTGTTTTCTTAAATGACATTATAACCTGCCAACAACGGTCATTTTTATGTTCTTGTTAATGGACGTTATATATTCAAAATAGTATTGATAAGAATAAACTTGTTTTTTGACTTCAGTTGTGGGCTTACAACATGCCCTTCCCGTCCACCAAATAATGATACATATAAAAAATATGAGGCCCTAAGATAAGGCCTAACAAGC